AGTAAATAAATTACCTTTCCTTTTAGCAGTAAAATATTTGCCAATTTATGGCATACTTTCATTTTCTGAAAAAGATTATCAAAGGTATATTTTTGGAAAGCTTACTCCATTTTAGAACTGAATCCAATGGGTTCATATCTGTACTTATTGAATGTAAAAAAAAAAAATTGTATTCATGTCAAGCGTCTGGCTCCGGGTGTGTCATCATTCATGGGTGGAAGAAGAATATGTGATGACCATATGTGATCATCAAACCTCAGCCCTCTGGCACTGGTATATCACTTTTATACTTGGCAGAACCTTGTCTGACAACATTCCCAAACAGCTTGCAGCAGTTAATCAACTCTAGTCAGCTATTACAGCTGATCTTTTCTGCAGATGGAAGATGGTAGGTTAGCTTTCCCAGCTCTTTTACATATCTCCCTGTGCTCTCCAGTCTCTAAAGTACATTTCTCTGCCAGTGGGTTTCTGGATAAGGCATCTGCAATTATAAACATTTTCCCTGGAACATATGCTGCGTACAGCTTAAACCCTATCAGGCATAACAGAAATCTCTTGTACCTTAAGGGAATTAACACAGAGATTTGATTTTGATAAAGGAGATAGACTTTATAGTTTGAAAGAACGCCAAACAAGCTGAAAACTGCGGCAGATGTGCTGACATCTTAATATTGGTGTAAGTGTATTTCTAATCTTTGGGAGGATAAAATACAAAAGCAAAAATAATATACATAAATAGCAGTTGCTATTTATATGCCATGTAATTCAGATGATGATATTTGTTTATGGATTTAATATAATGCTTGAATAACTGCTTATTCTCCAATGACTAGAAGAGTAACTATACCTAGTAGTAAAGTGATCTTTCAAGCAGATTGGCCTAGAGATGCAGGATATCAGAACACAATCATGTTAACTTGAAAAATTGCTTTCCTTGGATGTTCATCTTCTTTTGACATTCGGTTGAAGACTTTGAAATCTCAGCTCACTGTGAAAATCTCTTCTAAGCACCTGGATCCTTAACAACATTTTTCTCCTCCATAAAAACAAACAAACAAAAAACAAACAAAACAAAGCACCTAACCCATTGCCATCAAGTCAGTTCTGACTTATGGTATGACCCATGTGTGTCAATGCAGTACAGCACTCCATAGGTTTTCTCCTCTGTAAACCGAAACCAAACCCACCGCTGTTGATTCAATCCAGGTTGAATCGACTTGATGGCAATGGGTTTGGTTTTGTTTCCAGAGTAGCGACCCTAAATGCACCTGCACAAATTGCATTTATCTAGCATTAATACATGGCCATACACTCTCTGTCAACATTTTTTTTTTTGTCTTGCCTATTAGGTTGCCGAAAGTTTGGGGTGAGAGGGGCTGGCTAGCTTTTATAATTTTCATATGCCTTGAGTATACAATGTACTCAAATATTCTTTCGTTAAATAGCTATTGTGACTAGACACAAGAGACAATTGCTTGAGGATAAATGTGCTGACAACTTGAGCAATGAGCAGAAGGAGGATAAATGTGCCAAACAGCTCAATCAGAAATATTTGGTCTTGTCACTATGTCAAGTAAATAAGAAAAACAGAATTAGCAATAAAATAAATTTCTTCCTAAACAATAGAAATAAACATTTTATAATTTCATGATTTGTAATAATTTTTCTCACTTCAGCAAGTTATTGGTTGAAGACCTTTGAAAACCAAGACAATCAAGTTTGTATTCATTTTAAAGGGAAAGTATTTGTAGAAATAGACAAAAGCACCTGGCTTAAATATTCCAGACCAGGAGGGAGATTGGCTGTTGGTGGGAGACTCCCTGGCGGAGGGAGATCTGGTTGCCATAGTTGGTTCCTTGGAATGAAAGATGAGACATGAAAGCTTGGATCTGGGTCTGGAGCTCCAGGAAGAAAACCAGATGGGTCTCTACTTTTATGGTTCTGGGCATCTGCAAGAGAATGAAAATCTCAATCCATATTTAGTCTTATTGTTGTGTGCCAGTAAGTGTATTCTGACTCATAGCAACTCTATAGGACAGAGTAGAACTGCCCCATGGGGTTTCCTAGGCTGTAATCTTTATAGGAGCATATAGCCACATTTCTTTCCTGTGGATTGGTGGGAGGATAGGAACGGCCAATCTTTCAGTTACAAGCCAAGCGCTTATTTTAGCTTTAGGCCATGGCATTTAGTCTTTCTTATAGTATTTGTTGTTCTTATTCAGAGGGTAGATTATCTTTTGCTGCCTCTCATTTTAGTGGCATTTCCTTTATTTTTGCTACTCCTTGCCACCTCAATTTGGCCACTAAACTCAGAGCAAAAAGAATGTGGATGTTTGCTAGTAGTAGTTGTGAGAAAAAGGTGAATAATTTGGCTAAAATAAATGAATTCTGAAAGTTTTTTTTTGCTAAGTAAAACCTCTGTTCAAAAAAAATAGAGAATTTTAAACTATAGAGGAAAATAAATGGTAAAAGGAACTAGATGCTTTCTACACATAAAAGGATAACTTTAGCTTTATTATTTTTTTAATCAAAATTATGATGGTCTTTAAGGGATGTTCTGTCTTCCCTATATAATATGTGAGTACCTCACAATTTCCAAGAATATTTAAGTATTTCATCAAACATATGGGTATAATATTAAACCAAACTCATCGTTGAGTTGATTCCAACTCATAGCGACCCTATACGACAGAGTAGAACTGCTCCAAAGGGTTTCCAAGGAGTGGCTGGTGGATTCCAACGGCAGACCTTTTGGTTAGCAGCCAAGTGAAACAAAAAAAAAAGAAAAAACCAAATCTGTTTCTGTTGAGTCAGTTCCAATTCATAGAATAGCTAGGTTTAATTCAGTGGTTCTTATATTTTATCTTGCATCAGAATCACCTGAAGGGCTTGTTAAGACACAGATTGTTGAGTCTCACTCCAGAGGTTCTGACTCAGTAGTTCTGAGGAGGAGAAGGTGGTGCAATGGTTAAGTGCTTGACTGCTAACCAAAAGGATAGTGATTCAAACTCACCCATCAGTCCCATGGGAGAAAGATCTGGTGCTCTGCTCCTGTAAAGATTACAGCCTATAAAGCCCTATGAGGCAGTTATACTCTGTCACATGGGGTCCTTAAAGGTAAAAAAATCCATTGGATGGCACCTAACAACAATAAAAATGGTTCTAAGCTGGATGGTGCCTGGCTCCCACTGATGACTGCTCTGACCGGGATCACAACAGAGGGTTCTGGACAGAGCTGGAAAAGGATGTAAAACAAAATTCTAGCTCACAGAAAAAAGACCAGATTTACTGGCCTAAAGGAGACTGGAGAAACCCCGAGAGTATGGCCCCCAGACACCCTTTTAGCTCAGTGGTGAAGTCACTTCCGAGGTTCACTGTGCAGCCAGGGAGTGGATGCCCCATGAAACCAAATGGGACTAATGAGGCACAGCAGTCCAGGGACAAGGGCCAGAAGGCAGAAGGGGACAGGAAAGCTGGTGATAGGGAACCCACAGTTGAGTAAGGATAGTGTTGATGTGTTGTGAAGTTGTTAACCATTGTCATAGGGCAACATGTGTACTAACTGTTTAATGAGAAACTATTTTGTTCTGTAAACCTTCATCTAAAGTGAGAGTGGCAGCACAATTGGAAGAGCGTAGTCAATGTCGCCAAACTGTGCATGTAGAAATTTTTGAAATGGTATGTCTTTGGCTATGTATATTTTCACCAAAAAAAAAAAAAAAAAAAACAAGTCGAGAAGGGAGAGGGTTGACATGTTGTGGGGTTGTTAACCAATGTCATAAAACAATATGTGTACTACTGTTTCATGAGAAACTATTCATTCTGTAAACCTTTACCTGAAGTACAGTTTTAAAAAAAAGCAAGATTTCTAAGGAGGAGCTTGAGAATTCACAGTTCTAACAAGTTCCCAGGTGAAGCTGATATCTGCCGATCTGAGGCCACACTTTGAGAACCAATGGTTTAATTCCATACACCACAAGAATATTCACAACTAAGTTGTGAGGTGCTTAAAGGAAGGATAATATCCAATTTAGCTTTGATTTCTCAACAATATAAATTTCTTTGCTATTCACCCTATGTTCCTTTACCAGATTTTTTTCCCTTATATGGAGACCCTAAAACTATATGATGTACTTGTCCATAGTAAAAGAGGTTAAGGTGGGGTCCAGGCATGAAATCCATATTGTGTAGAAAACTAAACTGGTTAGGGCAATTCTGCCTGTTATCTAATATCCAAGGAAATGTTTCCTTTGTAAAAAAGCCAGGAACAAATGTTGATAGGATGTTTCTAAGGAGCTTTACGTAACCTCTACATTTCCAGAATTGAATGTCTGGCAAAAGGCCTGTGAAATCCCCCTCTCATAAACCCCTATAGTTGCTAAGCAGTAACTAGTCAACAAAAACTCTTTAAACTAATCATTGTAAACATCATCAGGTGGTAACTAGTAAAAAAAAAACTCTTTATACCAATCATTGTAAAGATTTGATTTTTGTAATCCTGCCTTTGACAGTGATGTATCAATGAAAAACCAATCAGAATTTTTCTTAACTTTACTTTCTTCTGTAATAGTATATTAGCTGCTCCCTGACTGTGATTCAGTGGATCCATTGGTCTTTGAGCTCAGTGCACACTTGACAGTTTCCTCATTTGAATGAGTTTCTTTGTCTTGACTTAGTAAAAATCTCTTTTGATTGAATTTGAGTCTGAGGTCTTTTTCCTCTACCACATTTTGGTATAGTCAGTAGGATCCAAAGCTGTCTTCCTTCAGCGGGACCATCTAGGGGTCAAGGACTAGAGCAGGCACCAACGACAAGGCACCTTGTTCCTTACCACTTCCACAGACACTGGGAACTCCACAAAGATAAGTGCTGTTGGATTTGAACCCCATGATTTACAGTGTGGTTCTCCAATATTTTTTATTAAGCCTTTTTCTGTGTCTTTCTCTTCAAATTTTCTCAGACGTCTTGGTATGCTTTTGTTTGTTTGTGGTGTGTAAAATTGAGCTCCCTAGTTAGTATGGAGATAAATCTACTTTCAAGGAGTCCTTAACCACCATAAGCCACCACCCAAATCTCATGGTGTTCCTTGATAAAATTTCTGTGTGGTTTGAGAACTGAAAGATGTTCTCTGTATGGGCAGTTTGCCTCTGAGATTGCTCAAAGGTGAAGTTCGCATGCCATCTAGTGATGTGTGGTTGTATCTGCAGATTTCTGAATTTAAAGTTGCAAGTGCTGAAGCTTTGGTAAGATGGGGAATGCTATTTCAAGGCTTCAGAGTGGACCTCCTTCTGGTACTCTGGCCGCCTGCATAGTTAGGAATTATGGGCCAAATTCAGTTCAGTTTCTTGAGAAATAGCATACACTTATCAGAGATATAGTTTCCGACCAGTGGCCTGTCTGGGGAAGGTCTGAACTCAGTAAGATAACTTTTCTGTGCAGCAAATTAGAACCTTATGTATCCAGAACTAATCAAAATCAGTGGGAAACATTTTTTAGTTGGTATTTAGAGGTGTCTTAAAGACAGCAGAACAATAAATTTGCTTGCTAACAGGACACTGTAGCTAAACAATCTAAGCAGATAAGATAGCTGCAGTGTCATACTCAGGCTACCTCCATTTCTCCTTTTCCTGATCCTTCGGAGGCTGCTTCTCTTTATCCTTCTTTATCTCCTGTGTCTCTTGAAAAGCCTAGTAATCCCCTAGTAGGACTCCCTAAGGATTCTAAGGATTCTTTAGATCTGTCTCATGCTCTCTCTGAAATGCCCTTCAAAATTCATCCTCCTCCACATGGGGTTGGCACTAGGGAAAATCCTAAAGAGAGAAGCATAACCTTTGTTCCCTGGATTCGTAGTGAATTGCATAGCATTGTCGAAGATTTCCCAGATTTATATGGAAGGATCCGTATACATTTGCTATGGAATTCAGAGTGTTAACTGACACTTACCAGCCTGGACTACCTGATCTTTATCAATGGATGCACATGTTAGTAAGTCCTGGGAATGCTCAGATTTGGCTGGAGAATGCAAACTGGCAAGTCGCCCAGAATGACTTTGTTCCTAATCCTGTTTCCCATAGTGAGACTATCCCAACGACAATGAGGAAAAGGCTGAGAATTTGCACAAGGCCCTAAAAGATGCTTTTCTCTCAGTGACAGATTGGACTAAAATTTATTCCTGTGTCCAGGGGAAGGATGAGTCTATTTATAACTATAAAGGCCAGTTATATCAGAAATTTTTGGAACATTCTGGTTTGGATCTGGGGACAGAAGGGACCACAGAAGCTTTTAATGCTGCATTTGTATCAGGTTTTCATCCTGAGCTTGCCACCTTACTTAAACAAAGAATTTAATTTGGAATACCACTCCTACTAATGAATTGGCAGAAATGGCCCATGAATTATCTCAAATCATAGATGATAAAACCAAGAAATTAATGGTGGTACAAATGCAGAAATTACACTCTATGCCACCTGCTGGGACCAGGTCATGGGGGCCACCAAAATTCTCTGGAAGCTGTCCTTACTGTAAAAGACCTAGCCATCTTAAAAGATTTTTATAGATTTAAAAATAAAAAAGAATTGTACCATCAGCTCCACCCAAAGTGGAATGAAGGGGCTCTAGGGATACATTAGAGGATTTTCCCATGGTGCCACTAAATTCACAAAGTGAAACAACCCTTCAGGTAAATGGCGAACCGTGCTGCTTTTTGATTGACTCTGGGTCAACCTTTCAACTATTAACCCACTAATTTAAGAAAACTTCTTTCCCAGAGTAGTAAAACTTCTGAGGTTGTGGGGGTTTCAAATCAAGAGCAAATTTTAATCTATTCTAGGCCAGTTTCCATGTCTTTAGGTTCTATAGAGAACATACATCCTTTTCTCCTGAATTCTGATAAGCCAGTAAATTTACTGGGAAGAGATTTTCTCTCCAAATGAAACTGCCACTTGCAGGT